TAAGAATGTGGGTTAAGGGGCGAGGTGCTTCAAGCGTTTGAAATCATCCCTCTCTTTCTCTTTCTTACACACATGTACACACACACACACAGAGAAAGAAAGAAAGAGAAAGAGAGAGCGAGAGAGAGAGAGAGAGAGAGAGAGAGAGAAAGAGAAACACATATACATACACTCACTGAAAGGAACTAATTTCCTGCAAATTATATGCCGCTTCCAACACCTCGTCGTCGTCGTCGTCGTCGTCTTTTAGTCGTTTGCTCTCCCTTTATTTCTTCCTTTCTTTCCGTCTCATCTTTCTTTATTATAGGTACTCTTTTAATTCATAAAAATAAACGAGACACGATCGAAACTACTTTCTCACTTCTTACTTTCTTTCTCTCTTTTTTCTTTTTTATCTTTTTTCTTTATTTCTTTATTTCTTTCTCCCTAGTTCAAACCCTTCTTTCCACTTTTTCCTTGAAACTTTTTACGGATTTAATTTACGAGCGTAGGGACGACGATCCAGTCTCGCGACGATTATGAGAATATTTTATATATGTGTATATACTTATATATACACGTATATATAAGTATGTATTTATTTATGTATGTATGTATGTGTGTGTGTGTATATATATATATATATATATATATATATATATATATATATGTATCCACCCTCTCGATTGCCATATCGACATTTAATCGAATTTCTTTTTTTATCTGTTTTTCCCTCCTTCCTTCTCTTTCGCTCTCTCTCTGTGTCATATTTCTCTTCTTTTATTTTGTCTCCGTGCTTCTTCCTCTCTCTCTCTCTCTCTCTCTCTCTCTCTCTTTTTTTTCTTTTCTCTTTTTTACTCTCTACGGCTTTCCGTTCGCGGAGAGATTAATCGACCGCCGGCGGCCCTTGGTTTCGTACGCGTTCGACTGCGTTTGACGCGCGATACGGTGACAGGAATTTTACGAGGCTCTTGTCGACGTTACGTTTTCAACGAAACACGATCGTGTCGTCTGAGAGAAGCGCTTTTATCCTCTTTCTTTCTCTCTCTCTCTCTCTCTCTCTTTCTTTCTCTCTCTCTTTCCTTTGACGGCGAGAAACGATTGAGAAACTCTTTCTCTTTTTCGAGAGAGAGAGAAAGAGAGCTTACTTTATTTATATGTAAATAATTTCGAAAATTTCAAAAATTTCTCTTATCATGTCGGTGATAATGTTCATGCATAAGTGCACACTACTATTTCTATCCGTAATTACTTGAAGTATGCCACATTTTGAAAATTGATATCAATATGATTGTAGCAATCTTTTTTGAAACTATTTTTCAAATAATTATATTGTATTATATTGATTATTATAGACACACATACACGCACGGACACATAAACACATACAGAGGATATCCTGTGTATTTCGAAAAATCGGAATATCTCTGGTGAGGGATTGAACCTATCAGAAAAATTTTTTTTCACAAATTTGTTTGATACGGAGAGTGACATCACATATGGTGCCAATTTTTCTTGCTTTTTTGTTTTTAGCAAATCAAATAGCGGGAGAAATTTCAAAGTCAAATTTTCCTTTTTTCTCATTTTTTTTATTTTTCTTTTTTTTTAAATGGTACCATATATTTTTCTTTTCGTTGTACCATATCTTTCGTTATGACGCATTCAACGACATCATTTAATATTGTAAAATGTTAGAAATTTATAAGTTTCCAGAATTGTAAAGAGCTATTATCCCATAATGCTTCGTAAGTTATCAAATCTTCCGTATATATGTGTGAGAAATTTCTTTTTTTTTTTAAACATCTTTTGTCTTTTTCTATGAAACATACAAACAAAATAAATGGAAATCAGCGATACAAACTCACGAATTTATAAAATAATTTATAATTTATAATATTTTACAATAATGAATTAGCTCATATGATACGCAGTTGTATTTTTCTCAAGAAATATCCATCGTATTATGAAAAATAAAAAGAAAAAAAAATACATATATGATTACTATAAAAAAAAAAGAATTTATAATTCCCCTCTCCTACTTATCAATTAACAAAACAAAAACAAAAATATGTGACGTCTTTCTTTATATCAAACAAATTCATAAAAAAATTTTGTTTACAAGTCTCTCGTGAGAGATATTCCGATTTTTTTTTCAAATAAATAGGACGTCTTATATACAATATTAATTATTAATTATGTAAATTGTTTTGTTTGTGAATTTATAACATCTTTTGTTTTGCACTATTTGAAAGTATTTATTATTATATAATTATATGTATATAATGTCTTTTGTATATATAATTTCTCGTTCTTTATCTCTCTTTCTCCTTTTTTCTCTTTTTTCTCTCTTTCATATCGAAAGAAGAGCATATGTGATCTGTAAAATAAAAAGACAGAGAAACATAGAAAATTTCTTGGTTAGGATTTCTGATAATGGGTTAAGGTGTAAAAGGATTAGAGGAAAAGTGAGAGAGAAGGTGGGGTAGTTTAGTATAGGATTGAAGGCGACCTAATTTATTCCAGACGTGGGGAGAACTTACTCAGCAAATTCCGTTTATCGAATCGTTCGAGGAATTTTCTTCATCTCCTTGCAACGATCCCATGATGCTTGATGCTTCCTTATACCCAGTCTCTGGTCGTTTCCGTACCTTTCGTCGAAGTTATTCAAGCTTGATCGTTGGTGTACACACACTATCTTGGTCTACGTGTCTGATTAATCGAACATCGAAACGTGTTTGCGAGTTTAATACATATAAGATAAGTCGTCGTGTGTGTGATTTGTGTGTATGATTCTTTTTTATATTTATAAATCCAAACTTGTATAAACGAATATTTTATCTTGAAGTTATAGGTATATCTATATAAATGAAATTGATTATTTTTGAGTAATAGCCTGCAGACTTTCATAATGTTAAAGTGTTAAAGTTAAATGGAAACTTTGAAGTTTTCTTCATAATTTCCAATACTTTTCGATGTATTTTTCGTGTTTAGATGATTGCAGATGTAGGTACTCGTTTGGAAAATGAAGAGTAGCGGAATTAGCTCGAGGTAGAAAGGGGAGAGAGAGAGAGAGAGAGAGAGAGAGAGAGAGAGAGAGAGAGAGAGAGAGAGAGAGAGAGAGGGAGAGAAACCTATTACGATTCATTCATTCCCCACCATTCTCGATTTACTTTTAACTTGTTTCGTATATTCAGTGTTTACTCGGCCGTTTACAGTTGACTTGTTCGCAACTCGATACGTCCATATTTCATTACATGCTATACAGAGAGTTATACTTCGGTGATATGTACATATCATTTTATATATATATATATATATATATATATATATATATATATATATATAAAGAGAGAGAGAAAGAGAGTGATATGTATACATATATATATCGTATATATGTATGCATATGTATGTATGTATATATATATGTATGTATATGTATGTATGATATGTATGTGTGTATGTATGTATGTATATATATATGTATGTATATGTATATATGATATGTATGTGTGTATGTATGTATGTATATATGTATATATGTATATATGTATATATGTATGTATATGTATATATGTATGATATGTATATATGTATGTGATGTGTGTATGTATGTGTACATGTTGTGTATAGGTATATAAGTACAGCTACAGACGCATTATTGATACCAAATGAGTCATTACAGCTATTATTTGCTTCGCGAGAGCAGTCAAAGCATTCGTTTAAAAAAACTTCTAGCAAAAAGTCAATTCGACGCTTTTTGAATCATCGATTAGTCGATTCAATGCTTTTTGAATCTTCAATGAATCGATTCAATGCTTTTTGAATTTTTGATTAGTCCATTCAATGCTTTTCGAATCTTCGATAAAACGATTCACTGGTTTCTCGTTGTCTTGAATTAATTTGGATCTCTCTCTCTCTTTCTCTCTCTCACTCTCTCTCTCTCTCTCTCTCTCTCTCTCTCTCTCTCTCTCTCTCCTTCTTCTATTTTAAAGAAATGAATGGCCACTTAAGGAGGACGATTCTTGAATTTAATAATCCACTCGAAAAAATTTGAAGAGCCAATAATTATCCTTTAATGATACATTAGATAAAACTTCCAAAGATTCTTCTTCTTATACAGTATTAAATGATCATTTTTAAAGAAATCATCTTATGTTTTTAACTAGGAATCTTAGTAATCGTAGTAGGTATATATTTAAATATTTTTTTCCCGTGCTATATACGATATAAAATAAAACATAGTTCATCCTTAGTATTGAATTTCTAAGCTCTAAAAGGAGGGAGAATCTTCATCGATGATAAACATCATTTTCTAATATTTCCTTTAAGGTTACCGTTTAGGTTGCTTGTACACTATTAAACGTAAAAGCATGTTAGTAGAGTAGTAGTCGATTGCCACTATGCACATCGAGAGCTTATATACCTAATGAGATTTACCGGTATCCAATTACCCAAAGTGCCTTTCCGATCGCCGACGTTAGATTCATAATATATGATATATATATATATATATATTACATATAATATTATATATATGTACGCCGAGTTCCTACTCTTTAAGCTATCAATTTCTCCTCGCGTGTTATAATGCGCGAAATCAATTCGTCATATACTTAATGACTTCCTGTGTTAAGTCTTTTAGAATTAACCAATTACAAATTTTCAACAATACTGCTAGAAGCATTCAAGTTATTTCCATACGCGACGTGTTTAAACGTTAACGTAAATATGATTATATTTTTATTGTTCAAAATAAAAAAAGAAACAGACATCGATTTATTTAATTTATTTATTTCTCGATCTTTTTGGTCAAACAAACTTTTAACGTTAATTATTTTTCGTTAAAACTTTTTTTCGTTATTTACATATACGTATTGATCATAAGAGAAATTATATAGAAAAAAAGTAATTTAAATTAGAAACAAAAAATTTTCTATCGTAATCGTGTTATGTTTATATTTTATTATTATTAATGTTCATTTTTAATTCATTTTTTCTTTTTCTTTTTTTTTTGATTGCAGATATCGAAAGGATTTAAAATTGCAGCCGTGAATAGGGAGACACTAGAGGAACGCTTTATTTGCTGTTGGTGAGATTTATTCGTTAGATTTTATCGGAGGTTAATCCAATCCGTTACATTCTCTCCGTTAATAAGAGAGAAATAGAAAAAGAATAGAAAGATAAGAAAAGTGCCCTTTAAAGGTCACCGTAATGTAAAGTTTTACGATGCATTCTAAACGAAACTTCTTCTCCTTGAACGTTCAATCTGCAATTTTCACGGAATATTTGCGAAGGAGTAGTAACGTTATCGTTCCGAGAAATTGATCTTTTGAATCTTCTTCCTTGCCAGGCTGATCACGTTTCTCCATCTGGTTCCGGGTTTCGTCTATATTTATAAGAAAAAAAAGGGGGAAAAAAAAAAAAAAAAAAAAAAAAAAAGAAAAATTTTTATGGAAACATTCAAGTTTTAATAAAACTGCCGATATTTCTATTGGAAAATGATTATGTTCTCTTTACTTTACGAATCTTACAAAAATTTTTTACATTTACAGAATATTCAATTCGAATAAATTTTTATAGAATATTTTTGAAAAAATGCTGCGACTATTATTGAATTTTTTATTTATTTATTAACGAATGACATTTTTAAAGATAGACATGTGTAGATACCGTTCGTCTACGTGAATGTTTTCTAGATAATATTCAATATCGCTATATTTTCGATAATATTTCAATTTCACGTGAACTTTATTTATGATATTTTCTTAACAGTAAATGAACATGTGATATTAACGGTGAAATAAAAATAATAAAAAATTGTCAGATTATTTCAACGTTAGGAATTTATAAATTTTTAAACGACAATTTATAAATTTTTACAATATAGTGTTGAACGCGTTTCGAACGAATTCTTTTAAATTGTTAATGTAGAAAAAAATGTTCGTAAAACATTAACAGAAAGTACAGAATGCGTTTACAAAATACTTCAAACTATATAATAGTTTTTTTTTGAAATTTATACAATGTTTATCGATACGATTGAAAAAGAACAATATTATTAGGATTGTTTTGTAGGGGTTGTAGCGCAAAGGGTTAAGTTAAAAAAAATCGAAGGTTAAATAATTGGATAAATTTGTAATATCGTCAACGGAGAGGCACGTCCATAGAATTGCAAATTTGTCGGTTTACGTTTGGCCAAATTTTGTCTTTACTCTTTTTGATATTACCTGAAACCTGGTATTCTCGTGTCAATAGCGCGAAATTTCGTGGCTTTCGAAAGGCAAAAGAAAAATTGAATTACTCTTACTCTGTCGTTGGCTCGTTGCCAGATTTCTTTTTCCTTTTTTTTCTCTCTCTCTCTCTCTCTCTCTCTCTCTCTTTTTTCTTCTCCTCCCTCCCGGATTTAATTGTCCGGAAACAGGGAGAATAAAAATCGAGTCGAATACGTATTAAATTTGTGAATCGTTAGAAATATTCCTCATTGAAATTTGTCGTCGATACTTCTTTCTTTCTTTTTTTTTTCTTTTTTTTTTCGGGAACAACTTCACGAAATATTTCGGGAGAGACATGGGTTGTAATAAAAAAAAAAAAAAAAGGAAAAAAAATAATAATAATAATAATGAATTAGAAAGAAAGAAAAAACAAAGATCGACGAAATGGACGGGTACGAATTCTGTTTAAACTTTGCCCTTGCTTGAAAGTTTCAACCGCTTAATAATATCCATGCATCATTCACCAGTGAAAAGTTTGCCTTCTTTCTCTCTCTCTCTTTCTTTTTTTCTCTCTCTCTCTCTCTGTCTCTCTCTCTCTTTTTTTCTCTGTCTCTCTCACTTTTTTCTCATTTTTTCTCTATCTAAGTCTTGAAGTAAGAAGAAAGAAAAGAGGAGAAAGAAAAAGAAAAATGAAATTCAGTAACTTCGTAACTGTCAGGTGTTTCTCCACCGTATTGTAAAACAGGTTCGGTGCGAATTGCCTGTTAACTACCATCAACGAGATAGGAAACTTTCTGATAAGGAGAAAAAGAAAAAGAAGAAAAAAAAAAGAAAAAAGAAAAATAGAACGGTGTCCTTGGAATAATAGCAATTTTCTTTCGACGAAGAAGTGATACCAGACGTTAACTTTTTCGTCTTGGATATGAAGCAAAAACTTTCATAATTATATGTATATATCTACGATCCCGTATATGAAATATTAAGGAGACGAATAGTCTAAATGAGGATGTTGATTTTCTATTATTTTAGAAAGGAGATAACAAAGAAAAAGAACAAAAAGAATTGTTAATCCATTGTCAATCTTACGATGAAAAATTAATACGATGCTTTATCGATCGTAAGCTGAGCTCAGTTTACAAAGCAAAAAAAAAGGAAAGAAAAAATATTCGAATTAAAAAATAAAAGAAAGAAAAAAGATTAAAAAACAGAAAAAAAGAAGATTACTTTAGATCGCCTGTTTAATCGATTTTAATAATATCATACGAAGCGTCGTAATTCGTCGTCCTTTAAGCTGGCCGTTTTTCGGATTATTCAGTAAATTAAAATTTTCTTTGATCGATCTGAATGTCTTCCTTCAGTGAAGAAAAGAATAGATAGAGAATAGGGGTAGGAGGAAGAAAAAGTTATTAGAAAGGAATATTTACTGTCGAATAACGTTTTATAAATTGAACAAAGAACTTCAATTTTGTGAATGAATATGGAGACTTGGATTCAAGCAGAGTGCATTAATTATCTGAGCGTTTATTAATTATAATCGATAATAAACAAATCAATAACAAAACAAGTCGACGTTAATGTTACATTCTATTAAGAAATTTGATAAAAAACAAATATATTTATCTTATAGATTTTATTATGCATCATATAAATATCATAAAAATTTATCAACACTAAAATGAGTTATGGTTATTGAAAAATGTTTCAAAATCCTAGTGAAACGTTCATTTTTACGATCTAACAACAATTTTCTAGATTTATATAAACAATCTCAACTCATTCTAGTATTGATTGATCTTAATTTGCTATTTACAGTCTGCATATAAAACGATCAAATATACATCAAGTACTTGTGCATGTTAACTTTTTATAAACGCACTTTACGAAAAATTTGTATAAATAAGCTTAATTTATATAAATAAGTTTAATTTGTATAATATTTATGCTTTTACGAGTTTCTTTTATTTTTAATTATTTATGTACTTTTTACAACTTGCTAATAATCTCCTACAATGTTGAATAATTTTAGATTTTAAATTGAAGATTTAAATTCTACAGAAAAATCACAATTTTACGGAAAGAGATAGAGATAGAGATAAAGATAGAGATAGAGATAAAGATAAAGATAGATATAGAGAGATAGATAGAGAGATAGATAGATAGATAGATAGATAGATAGATAGAGAGAGAGACAGAGAGACAGAGACTGTTTTGTTATTCATCTTCTTATTTAATCTATGTACACAATGAAATTTATCTCGTATTATCTTGTTCTTTAGTTTTGTATAAACGGTAGTTATTTTCTATGTAACAAAGACATGGAATAACGTGGTTTGTACATCAAACGAAAATTATGAAAAATTTTTCGTATACTTGTATCTCTCTCTCTCTCTCTCTCTCTCTCTCTCTCTCTCTCTCTCTCTCTCTCTCTCTCTCTCTCTCTCTCTCTCTCTCTCTCTCTCTCTCTCTCTCTCTCTCTCTCTCTCTCTCTCTCTCTCTCTCTCTCTCTCTCTCTCTCTCTCTCTCTTGGTTTTTCTTGCTCTCTTTCTCTTCCCCTGCTTTTTTAATTTCATAGAATAGACAGATAGTAGTCAAAGACAAATTTCGGCGTGTTATCTCGTCGCTTGAATTACAGCAAGAAAAATGAGGACTGTATCGTTCTTCAATCACACTCGAGTACATACTTTAATGTACGATTGTTCGTACAAAAATAAATATAAATATGTATATATGTGTCTATGTAGAAAAAATGTTAAAAGAAAGAGAGAGAGAGAGAGAAAGAGAGAGAGAGAGAGAGAGAAAGAGAGAGAGAGAGAGAGAGAGAGAGAGAGAGAGAGAGAGACCTCAGGACGTAGATGACAGGATGTTATAGTTATTCATTAATTTTATGTCAGTATAAAAATAAAGTGTTCAATCAACATTGCCCATAAAATTTACTATGGAAATCGAATTTTGTTTTTCTCATTCTATATAACCAGTCAGTTGGAAAAAAATAAAAAAAACAAAAACAAAGAAAGAGCAATGAACAAATAAATAACAAACATTTACTATTATTTTACTCATTAATCCTGTGTCAGTATAAAAAAAAATGTTCGATCAAACATCACTCACAAAATTTACCATGGCAATTGAATTATTTTTTTTTTATTCCACACAGTTAGCTAGTTAAAAAAGAGAAAGAAAAAATAAAAAGACAATGAAATAGACAAAGAAATGAATAAATAAATAAATAAGTAAATAGACAAATAAATAAATAAATAAATATTTGCTGTTATTTAGAAAATAAATAATTATTTAGAAAAAAATAAATTATTGTTTAGAAAAAACATTAAAACTTCAAGATGAATATTTGTTCGTCACAAAAAAATTCCTCATATAACTCAAAACTTTTTCTCTGCATATTTATAAAATTTCATTGAAATGTAAATTTTCAAGTTGGTTAACCTTTCCTTATACGTATTTCTTTCTTTTTTAGTTTAATGAGTACCAAAATAATCCTCTCGAGTCTTGAAACGCTTTCGTTTCAAACATTCTATTTATAAATATGTCGTTCGTACAAATAGCTCATTAAAATTGTATTTTCATTTGGTTGGGGAAGAGGGAAAAAAGGAGAAAGAGAAGGGGATGGGGAGAGAAATACCATAACTTTTACGATCGTCATAAAGAAAAGATATGTTTGTACGATTGATTTATGTTATTCCATACGGAAGGATTTGGAGAATCAATTTTCCTTCTTTTAATCTTTTTTTTCTTCAACAATTTTCTCACAATGAACGTTTATTTTAATCTTTCATATAATTTTCGTAAATCTTTTCAAAATCCCTTTTAATAATCCCTTTTACTCTGGAAGAAAGAAATTATTTATGAAAAAGAAAAGAAA